AATTGTTTTGAAGTTCCAGTAATCTTCAAATGTAAAATTCTATTTTTTACAAATTCAAAAGAGTTTAACTAACAAAATTAATGAAAATACCCAAAATATAATATATTCATTAGGTTTTCAGTCAAAGTGATTTTAAAACAGGGATGATAAGAGATAAATATACATAAGTAAACGGAATGGAAAGAAAAGTAAAAGAATTATTGATCACGACTTAAGCATGTGAATTAAGAAAGCAAAATAAAATAAGAAAAAAATAAGAAAATAAAGAAAAAATAAGAAAGAAAGAAAACAAAAAAATTATACAAGTAAAGATAAAAATTAAAATAATGAAGAGAAGAATAGTTGGGGTGGTCAGTCAAAAAGGAAGGCAAAAATAAATGATAATATTTATTTTTTATTTTTTACATATGCCAATTTATCATTTATTTTTGCCTTCCTTTTTGACTGACAACCCCAACTATTCTCCTCTTCATTATCCACGACAGTCAACCAATTACCAATTAAAAATTAAAATAAATAATGAATATCTAACATAGTGGTGAATCAAAACAAGTGGTTGCCCTATGCAGTAAACATTTTGGTAGTCCTCTAAAAAAAATGTCAACAAAGGACATAAATTAAAAATTTTGTTTATAGATTTCTTTGATTGATTTATAGAGGGTTTGAATTTTTTTTCATGTTCATTTTCAAAACCTTTAAGTCACATTATTGAAAAAAAGTTAGGCCCCTTCAGTGCTCTTGGCTATCCAGAGCCCTATGGGCTGCTTAGTCCATTTATTGCTTAATCCACCAGTAATCAGAGAAAGAATTCTAACCAGAGCAATTTGTGAGTATTAAATATGTAACAGGAACTAAGTGTCAACCAATTTAAACATGCTAAAGGGGCGAGAGGTAGTTTCTTAATTTTTTTTCTTTTAACAAATCAAAACGACATAATTCAAGACAACATTCTTTACAACATAAAGTTGTAATGCCTTATAAATAATAAACAAGTTAAAATCAGTAAATGTACAAGATAAAAATAAATTTTTAGAAAGGTAAGTTTAGAAATAAGTGGCATGTACAAAACTTAAAAGCAAAAACAAAACAGAAAGGAATATTAAAAAAAACTGTAAAAACATGATTTTTGAAATTGAAGAATGGTAGAATAAATAAATTAAGTAGTTTCCTAATTAACTTTTTGGTAAAAGAATTAGATCGATTTGGAAAGGAGTCATTTTTCATGAGCAGTTCCATTCTGGCACTGTGGCTAGAATGGAGGGACTATCAAAATTAGGACCCCAACTAAAGAAAAAGGGAGCATTAGGTCTAGGCATAAACATTTAGAGGACGGCAAATTTCAAGAAAAATGGTTTTAAACTTAAGAAAAAGATATATTTTAAGCTTTTTGATTGTTTTGACCTAAAAAATCAGTTAATGCTATGAGGTGATGATATTAATTTCAAAATATACTATCTAAAATATCATTGTAAAATGTTAACTTTTAATAGGGGAGGGAGAGAGAGAGGTTAAAAAAGGGGTAGTAGATGGTAGGTGACCTTTCCCCTTCAAATAAATAACCTTAATAACAATACAATATATTTTTTTTTTAGTTACAAATGAAAATAAAACAATTTTCATTCTGGAACTATTGCTCTAAAAAATAACTCTTAAGTAGATATTACACAACAAAAGTTTACAAAGAAGCATCAATATCCTGATTAATTAACTGCCATGCACTCATTGATGATATATGATAGAGAAACGCCAACAATAAAACTTAAAATCTGATGGAAAGAGTAATGAGAGAGATAAAATTTTGCAATTAATTTAAAATGGAAAGTAATATAACATTTTTAACATTTACCTGAAATAAAGGTAATCATTAAGAGAAACAGAATAAGGTAATGTGGACCATATAAACAATATCTCATGATTATAGAACTCTCAGTAGAAACAAAAAGATTTGGAATACTGAGGAGATAAAGGACAGTGATCTCAAGGGATTGAAACGAAGAAGATGGAAAAGAACAGTCATATAGAAGATAATTTATAGAAGAGAACGAAATCTGAATTCACCTTTTTGCCTTATTGCCCTACCAATAGAAAAATATATATATTGTATTTATTATTTAAAGTAGGCATTTGTTAATACAATTTTTTAAAAATTAATTTTGAATTTTCTTAATTTCAACCTATTTATACCATATAAGCCCAGTCTCAAAGTTTTATATACAAAGAGAGATTTAAATGTACATCGACATATCTAATCTATAAATAAGTAAGGATTGTACTATGGAGTAAAAACTGTGGTAGCTAAATCTGTTTCATAATATACTTTTTCTAAAAACCTATTTTATTCCCTTTTAATATTCTCCAAAATAGAATTACAAGGTTTTCAAGAGCCCACCATCAATACTATACTTGATGTAAGATTTGTATTCTTACTTTTAAATTCCACATGTCTTCAGGGTTGAGAACTATCGGCAAACATCTTGAAAAGCAAAAACAATGGCATGTACAGAATGAAAAACACCAGCACCCTTGATTATTTCTCCTGACTTTATTTCAGATAATTAGTTTTGGAAATCCCTCATTCCACTTATTTTTAGTCTTTGATTTTTATTACCAAGGATATTTGGTTCATGGAAACCATTCAATTTAATTTCTTCATATTTAAACATTGATATTGAGTGCTGTGGAAACAACCATCCTCGAAAATACAGGCAACTCTTGCATAGCCAATTGGAATGGTCATATAAAAATAAATCTAAATAATATTATATCATTAAAGTGAGTTATTTTACACCAGTTTCTGGACTTTTTGTGACCATGTACTTTTTCTACCCACTTAGAGGAGTCAGAAAATTCTGAAATTTGTACATTAGTTTACTCTGGTTTGATATTTGTGTTGTTTTTTTTATATCATTTTTTTGTAAAAATTTAAAGTAAGGTTTATGAGTTGGTAGTTTGTGATTAAGTTTATGTGTGCTCAGTGGATGAGCACTGAGCTCCAGAGCTCAAGGTCCTGGGTACGAATCCAGCTGATTCTAATAATTTTTAATTAGCTGTGGATCGATCCTGGGGCATATCCAGCCTCTATAAAGTGGGTTCTCTTAATTAAATAATTAATTAAGGAGGAAAACTTGACAGTTGAACATGATCTCGCCCCAATCACCTACCTGCACAACCATTGGCCTTGTAACAGCAATTTCTCACATTGTACTGAACCCAAGACACACTCATGAGTTGTTAGTAGTATAGGGTTCTTGTTTTTGTTAAAAAAATAATTTAGATGTTTACGTTCAAAAAAATTTCCAAAAATACTTTCACTAAAATCGACTAATCGGAAGTTTGGCTTGTTATAGTCGTGTTGCTTGTCACACATTTTTCCTATTTTCTCAAAAATGGTTTCAATGACTTCATTGTAAAATTAAGTGGTTTTTAATATCACTAAAAAAAAATTTAATATCAGGCAGGTATTATCCTCATTGACAATGATAAATTTTCAAAATTTCTTTCTCTAGAAAATCTTTAATTTTTTTTATTTAAAATCATTAACGCTGTATTATTAAAAACATGTTAAACATAAACTATGAACAAATTTTATAATTAAGTAAAGAAGAAATAAGGACTACTCAGAAGGGACCAAGAACCAATGAAAACAGATGATCCAATAGTAAATGTGTGGCTTTCATAAATTCTAGCTTTAGTATTAACAGTTAATTCGATAAATTATAGCAATATAAAAATATGAATTGTACATATACTATGCTAAAACAAACAAAAATATACATAATAATAATAAGATTTCTGGTCTTTCTGCCATATTATAGACCAGTGGTCCTCAAACTTTTTTTGCCGCAGAACACTTGTCACACAAAAAATAATTGTGGTAACATTGTAATTAAATAAATAAGCAAAATACACAGTACATGCATTGGCAAAACTTACAATTAGTTATTTTAAATGAATATGTTATGCTCTGTACAATTTTAACTTTCATTTTTCTCTATATCTAATCCCGGAGGTAAAGAACACCATGCCCATTTTTGTATTTGTTCGGAGATCCAATTTGTCATAACTATGATCTATTAAAATCTCTTTCTTAGTTACTAAATTATTTAATATAAAATGGAAATGGTGTAATTTACCTCAGGGGCACAGATATGAAAATTATTTCGACTCAAAGTAGGATAAATGAAAGTTGTTTGATGCTTGCAGTGCACCATTTTTATATTATAAGACGATATAGTAATATTTGTGTGATTTTCTTAAATAAAATCAGAGGGCAAGGAAAAATAATTAAAAAAATGGTAGTTAAAAAATAGTGGCATTAAGTTCACGCTCAGGCTGCCCTGAAATTGTGAGAGTTCAAGTTGAAATTGAAGCTGTATTATGATTTTTGAGATACTAAATACTATTTAAGAGAACTGGTAATTTTGCATTAATATTTATAAATTAAAAAAACAATCAATTAAAATATTAATTCATGGAATGACATATTCTTAATCATTTTCCTATTGAATCTTCATCAATTTTTATTGCTAAAAAATGATTTCTTTATATCTGATTGCAATTGGTTCAACTTTAAAAAAAAAAATAAAGGTATCAAGGAAGATTAAAAAAAAAGTAATTACTTTTGCTCCTTCCAATTGAAAAAATATATATACAACCTTTCAAAACAACCATATTGTTTTGTAAAAGGCATTTTATCAAATCGTACCTTTTCATTCTGTAAGTGAAAATATTTATGACGGATATATTGTTGACCATAGGAGGAATTTGCAGGCAAGAATTGCATTGGAGGCAGAAGTTGGTTGAGGGAGCATTCAGAGATAAAATAACACAAATAAGAAATAAAATAAGACTCCTTATTTGAGAGTGATTTCAACTGTAACTGCAATCCCAACCAGCTCCTCTAACAAGATGTTTAAAATGTAAATAAAAAGAATAGAACAATTTGTTTAAACAACTGAAATTTATTGAGGCAAATTCTATGAATCAGCATAAATAATAATAGAAAGTTTATTTACAATTTCTTAATGGCGCAGTCTTCATTCACCAATGATTTAAACAATAAATACAATATTGCAATTATTAACAAATACAATATTCATCAAGATAATGTCAATAACATATATATATGTATATATATATTTATTTTGTCATATGCAATGACACCAAAGTTATGTTCATTAGACGAATACACTAACTATTCAATAATCAGATAATAACGATTGGCACCCATATTGAGCACAAAGGGTTTCAGCCTCTGAGCCCGTACTATACCTCCGCGTTTAAACAAAATGTAATACAGCAAATTCCCAACTACCTGGGAATAGATTAAATATACATTAATATAAAGTAAAAATTACATGTGAGTATAATACTGTAACGTGTACAAATGTGTTTAATGTGTTTTAACCGATAGCACTTTCATGTTCGATATTAAAAAAAAGAAAATAAATAAATAAAAAAAATAACAATTAAATAATCAATTTAAAAATAAAGTTATTCACAAAAATACAAAGAAATAAATAAGCAATTTAGCCTTACTAAGAAGCTTAGATTAAAATCATCTGTATAATTAGACTCCATTAACAATATAAGCTTCAGTTATAACAGGCCTATACGAATTATACATTATCACAAACAACTGCCGATGTGAATAACACTATGCTTTTGAATTGCACTTCAATATAACAAATATGCTAACAACATATAGGTATGCTTTCAACAAACTCACTTATGTAGAATATTAAACAATGACAAAAGACTAATGAGAGGCTAGACATCAATTTCATTCATAAATAAAAAAAAATTAATTGTATCCTAAAATTCTAAAATATGAGATACTAAGATGATATATATTAATATATATATTTTTATTGATCACTGTCTTTTTAATTAACATATGACTACTTATAAGTTTAGAGTATTATTGCACTGAAGAAAATGAACAAGAAAACAGTGATGTCATCGCTCATCATATTGGCTTAAGCTTTAAAACGCATTTTAAACCAGGTACATTATATTTTTCAATACGATTCAATTATTGCTCGCGATTTCTCTCATGTCAAAACATACACTGTACAATTTACAAATCGCTTAGGTGAATTCGATAACTATACATTCTCAATTTATTATAAGCCAATTATTATATTATATATCTCTCAATATAATCTCTTTGTCTATGTATTTAAAATATGCTGTTAATATAATTCTAAAATCTTTCCCTACAATAATGGTCATCAATTTACAAATCACATAGCCTAGGTAGCGTGTCTTCCCAGTTAATATCACTGATGATTTAATTTTTCGGGGTATGTAACCAGCCAGATAATAAATAATCAGGAATGTGAAAAATGACTAAATACCACCAATCTGGTAAAATGGAAACGCTCCGAATTGGGTATTGACCGGAGTTTTAGGGGATGCGCATACGTACAAGAGATCATCTGATTGAAGCTGGGTCCTATTCAATAACGGTTCAGAAGTTGATCTGTGTATTTTTGGTATGGAATGTAAAAGGCTTTCGAGTGAGGCAAGAATTTGGGGAAATAATGGGCGATCTTCTCTTTTAAATTTAATACAATCTTCCGATAACCTCCTAAGCGCTTTTGGTGTTTCAGGAGGCAAATTATTAAGATCAGGCCTAAGATATCCCCTACCGACTTTAAATAAAATTTCATCTTTATTATTAATGTGAGAATAAGGAAGCTGACCAGTCAAAAGTTCATATAAAACAATACCATATGCGTAAACATCCGACTGGAAGCTGTAGGGTGTGTCTTCTTGCATCCTTATCACTTCAGGAGCCATCCATAGAATAGAACCAGAGGGTTGCTGAAACTGCTTTCCACCAGACCATCTCGTTTTCACAGTAGCTAGTCCAAAGTCGCCTATTTTAACTACCATGTCATGAAGAAATATGTTATTACTTTTTAAATCTCTATGAATTATATTCTTCGCATGTAAGTAATCCATTCCCTGTGCAGTCTGTCGAGCAATATCAATAAGTGTCACTAAATTAAATTTTGTTTCTTGAACATGAAGATGTCTATAAATACTAGAGCCTTCACACCACTGGGTAACTATAGAAAGTTGTGGTTTACTCACGTAGCCCATAAATAGAAGGATATTGACATGGCGGGTCTTCCTCAGCACAGCCACTTCATTTTTAAAAGCTTGTAATTGGGCACTTGTCGGATCCTTAACATTCAATGTTTTAATAGCTACAGATCCATGCCAGTGTCCTTTATAAACTGTTCCGAACGATCCTGAACCTATTCGCTGTCCAGTCAATATTTCATCAGCAGGTATTTCCCAGTCTTCAATGGATTCTCTAGGACCATCTTTACTTATCTTCTTATTAGCACTCTCATCCGCAGAGCGAGCTCTAGGCCTCCACGGCCGCAGTGCATTGGTCGGAGAAGCCTGGGCACTCTGTGAATGTGAGTGTGGAAGCCTGTTACTTGCCATAACAGGTCCAACACTAGACAGGGTCACTAGTTCGTCTAATGGATTTGTATCAATTCCACTGGGATTGACTAAATTAAAGCATACATTGGGAGCAGAACTAGACCTTTCACCATGTCCCAGTGCCCTAGGATGTCTTCGAGTAGACTGCCTAGACATGGTATATCCCTGAGGCATATGCAGAATACCAGCAGACTTTTCAGGGTTAGATGCTAACAGCATTTGATAGAAATTATCTATCATTCGCACTTGCTGACAAAGTGCAGGTACACCTCCAGCACAACGCTGATGAAAACGGTAACCACATGTCCTACAATAAAAACCTTGAAAAAGTAAACGTCTACAGCATTCACAAAACACCAAAGAAAAAAATGTCTTGCGGACAAAATTATGAGATATACTGGTAACAGGAAAATTGTCTATGATTTCTACTCTTATCTCATCAGTATCTACTGATGAAATGTCTGCATCCCAAGGTATAACAATATTATTATTATTAGAATACACTGTACACATTTCGGCTGTCAGATTCCTAAGTTTCATCGCTTTTGCTAGAGCTTCACGCACTGAATGACCAGGTGTCACTTGAACACTTGTTCTTTGCTGATTAGGTAAATGAGCTCTAACTACCCTCTTCAAAGATGTTTGAAAACTAGGTCTGTGTCCCCTGTCCAAACTAGGATATGCACTATGATCACTATCACTTAAGTCCTGTGGAATTAACCTTAAATTGATCTGTTCATTCAACTGTTGCTCCTTCACCTCTAGCTCATGCAATTTACTAGTTAGCTCTTGATATTCCGATAAATACATTGGAGGTGGGTGTTGCATACCTGCGAACTTGGCATTTAACGCGTCTATATTTTCTCTAGTTAAATGTATAACGCTTTGTATGTTTTTCAATTCATCTTCTAATATTTCTATTTCATCATATTCTGAAGACATCTTGAAGTTATGACTTTGTAAAACACAGGTTATGTCGATTCCTTAATTATCTTTTCATTGATGATAATAAATTCATTAATACTACGATCAGAGGGCCGAAATTTGTAAAATGCTATCACCCGACAGCGGCCACCAGCCGTCTACTCCTACCATCAAGGAGTAAACAGGTGCCTTTATCTACTTCTGAAAACACTTGAGAGGATCCGATTTTTAACCTAATGAGAGGCTATCAAAAATTGTTATACATCACGTTAACGCACTAGTATTTTACATTTGATTTGCAATTTAAATTGTACTACCATTTAAATAGAAATGATTCAATCAAATCGGCTTTTTAGTTAAGTTTTCTACCGCTGGGCAGCAGCGCTCTGCCACCCGCCAAACTCGAACAGCTGTTTAAAGATTTTTCACACTGCAATGTTAACGCAGAGAATTAAACTTGCTAAACTAAAACAATGTTATAATTTTCGTATGAAAATTGTTCTATAAAATGCTATATTTTAATTTGAAAATACAACATAATTTTTATAATAAAAAATATGTAGCTTAGTGACAGTGATTAATGAAGTGTAAGGTAACTGGTCATATTTTTCTCCTTATAACTTTTCAACGTTTAATTTATAATAACTATCAATGCAAAATATAAAAGTTTTCTAACAAATATATCAGAAAATATTATAAATATCTTTTAGATGGATTTGAACCATTAATTTGTTCAATTATTTTACAAAGAAACTCGTGACTTATATAATTAAGTAAATCTCGATAACATACGTTGTTATTTAACAATATGATAACACATTAATAGAAGAAACTATAAACCATCACTTTTCCGGAATATTTATGAATCATGATGTCCATTTCAAAAGGAACATAAGCATTTTTTTTCTGTTTATGTCAAGCTAGAAAGAAAATAACCCAGTCAATTCTTTTAAACAATATCAGTTTTTTGTTTTAAAAAGTTTTAATGTGTTTTCACCCATTACAACCTCATATAACTTCAAAAACCCATACCTTTTGGACACATTGTATTTATGAATCAGAGAAAATAAAACAATAACAGTTATTAATATTAATTCAACGATAGTTTCATAAATAAGGATTATACAGGAAATAAAATTAATTATATGCTTCCAAATTTCGTTTTATTATTAATATAGTTTATCGTTTTGAAATTTATTTTAGCTTGAAAGACTTAAACAAACTGAATAGTATTCGTAGGATAAGACCAAAAACTTTAAACTGTAGTTAATGCGTATATGTTTAGTATTAATACTAAATATATACGCTAAGATATGTATACATATATCTTTTCTATTTTTTTTTTTTCGGAATTTTTAAAGTGATTACATCTCCCTGCATTCCAACTATTCAGCTTTTTCTCGAAGCGTTCATAAAATTAATTTAGAAAAAAAAATGTTTATTTTATATTTTCCTATACTAATGTTTTATAAACCCTATATCATGATATTTTTTTCTCAACCGTTAACGATTTTATTATAATATGTACATACAAATATATTTATATTATGACCAATCATTTTCACTACACATGCAATTCAATTTGAACGATATAGCAGACAGAGAAGTCACTCTTAATTAAATTTCATAAATATTTAAGTTTAAATTTTATGATTTATTTATTTTTACCTAATCGATAATTTCGTTATACAATAAAAACATTCTATAACTCTTCGATAAAAGTGAGTGTTTTCTAAACGGTTGGAGAAAATGTGCAGAAGCAGCAGATAGCATGCTGCCGACGGATGTATACAAACTTAATTATAGGTCACGCCTCAAGATTGAATTGCGACATCAAAACAAACCTCACTTTGAATATAATCAATTCTTCAGTAACCGCTCACTCTTTTAGACAGCAAAAAGATCAAAATATATTTCGACTGACGTTAACAATCAGTTATAAAACTAATATAACTATGTACATTTTTATATAAATAATATAATAGATATACAGGGTGTTTCATAATTGCACTGCACTATTTTAGGTATGTGTTCACTAACACAAAATAAACAAAATAGTTCATATTAACATATATCTCAAACTCATTTATTAAATAGATATCAAAGGTTAAAGACTTATTATTAATTATTATTACAACATTTACAGTTCAAAGGGGCCTCCGTTTTGTTGAATGCAACATTCATCACGACGAATCCATGCTTCTCTGGCTCTTCGTATAGCATCAGGATGGTGCTTGATAGTTACTGCGGCTTCCACAATCCGATTTCTTAGCTCTTCTTGCGTGCCAACTGCCGCAGAATAAACCATAGACTTCACCCAGCTCCACACAAAATAATCGAATGGCGTTAAATCCGGAGATCGTGGTGGCCATTTAATAGGTCCGTTTCAAACAACCCATTTCCCTCCATAAGTTGCAGTTAAATAATCATTGACACTATTAGAAAAGTGAGCTGTAGCACCGTCATGCATAAACCACAGCCTTTGCCTAATGCCTGGCGAAATATCTGCTAGAAGTTCATAAAGATTATTTTGCAAAAAATGCAAGTAAGATATATCTGATGGCAAAAATAAGTGGTTGGTAATATCCAACACCAGTCGTATAAGGGTTTTCTTCAGCCCAAGTATGGGTATTTCGAAAATTAAGAATCCCGTTTCGTGTATGATTCATCAGTAACCAAAATGTAGTTCAAAAAGTTAGGATCTCGTGTGCATTGTCGAATTAACCACTGGGAGAAATTTCTGCGCTTGTTATAATTTTGTGGTAACACATCTTGCCTACTCGATACGTGAAATAGGTACAGTATACAATCGTTGTTCGAGTGAAGTCCGGCATACGCTGGTAGAGGAAACATCGAAATGACGTGAAAATCTTCTGGTACTAGTAATAGGAGATAACTGAATAGCATCGAGTATTTCTTCTTCAAGTTTGCAGTTCGTCGAAATCTTTGTCGACCGGCGTTTACTCGCATAGGTTTTAGCGTGCATTATCCCTAAGGCATCTTTCAATGTCCTCAAACGTTTTACGATTTGATATTCTTCGGTTAAGAAATTTTCACGATATCTTCAAACAGCAGCAGTGCCGTTTCTATATACCTCGCTTAAGTTAATAGCATGTCTGTTTGTTCTGCAAAAGTGAATAAATTGATGGTGTCTCCCATGATAATCATAAATTGAACTATGTCAAAGTATTCACTCACATTAAAACACACAGAACTAGACAAACAGATGAGCAACTACTGTCATTGCTTATTATTCATTTGTTTATCAGGTGATTAAAATCTGTTATTTAATATTAAAAACGTTAAACTTTGTACAATCAGTCTTAATGTAGTAAATAAATAATAAATCTTTAACCTTTGAAATCTGTTTAATAAATTAGATTGAGATATATGTTAATATGAACTTTTTTGTTTATTCTGTGTTAGTGAACACATACCTAAAATAGTACCGTGCAATTACCCTCTGTATATACATATTTTATTACAAATATTATGGATAAATTATAAGTAATATAAGTGCGTATATTTTTGTATTCAGGACGTGTCATAAAAATTAAGATCGAACTTTCAGATATATAAGCAAAAAAGAAACCAACAAAAAACCCTTCATTACTGTTATTTGATTTCAGAAAATGGAAATGAAATACCTTAAATACTATTTTAATGCCTATCATGAACCTTATGTTTATTATAATAATTTATTATCATAAAAATGTTCTATACTAATTATTTTTATTAAGGTGAAATAAAATAAATTAATTAATATCTATTTTAGTATATGTACTGCCGAAGCGAGTATGTATGTGTTTTTTGATTTGTTTTAATTTCCTTATTTTTAAGTTTTTTTTATTGTATATACTGTTTGATTATTATTTATAGTTATTTTATATTTTTGTACATATAGTGTGAATGCTATCCTACCTCACTATAACTAATGTCCAAGTGACAGATTGCTGTAATATTCAATAAATAAATAGAAGAAAAAATATTCAATAAATAAATAGAAGAAAAAATATCTATTTTATATTAATTAATTCAATTTATATTAAACTAATCTAATTTATATATATATATATACCCATACATATCACTATTATTATAAATATATACGATTATATATTCTTTTTATATATATATACACATACATATCACTATTATTATAAATATATACGATTATATATACTTTTTATATGTCCTTGGAAGCAATCATGAATACACTGAGCAACTCGCTAAGACTATGATAAGAGAAGCAGAGCAAATCGGTCTACAAGTAAATGAAGATAGAACAAAATATATTATAAGCCAAAAACCCATCTCAATAACAGGATCTGCGAAGAAGGAAAATCATCTCCGAGAGTAGAAAAATTCAAATACCGCGGATCCAATAGCCTTAATGAATGGTCAACGGTGGGAAAAGAACCAGCGTATAACAAGCCCAAACAGGAGTTTCTCCTCTCTTTCAAATTGAAACAACGAAAAATCTCAAGAAATCTCAAATTAAGGGTGTACAACGCTATGATTAAGCCAGTTCTCATATAAGGCCGGCGAGACCTGGACCCTAACCAGCACCCCAGAAAGAACTATTGAAATATTGGAGAGAAAATCCTGCGCAGGATAACCGGAGCGATCTGAGATCAGAAAACTAATGAATAGAGGGAAAAGGCTGCTTGCAGAAACTGATCAATCGATATCACATGATATGAAAGCAAGGAGGTTAAGATGGGCAGGACCTATAACTCTGAGCAATCCACCTGGAAGATACCGATGCGATCATAGTGACTGATACAGTGAAATAGGACTTAACACAACTAAATCGCCGTCTCGCCAAGGACGTTAATAACATATTGCTAGGAGATATCGCGTAGTGTTTCACGGTCAAACTTTTACCTCATATGATCACTCCTACCGAATCTTTTATAAGTCTACACGTATGGACTATATAATATAAATGATATTCTGAATAAAATAAAAGACTAAATAATTGATAAAAGAGAACAAACTTTACACAATTGTAGTTACACACCGTTACTTTCTTAAAGATTATAATTCAAAATTGACAATATTTTGTCATAATTACATTGCTACTAAGCCTAAACCGGCTTCTTCGTGACCCTCGGCTAGAAGAAAAAGAGGAATCCCACGGAAAATGTTTTAAAGTTACATGGCTCAAAATCAGGCCCACAAGAAGTGGGGGACCCGAGGCCTGGTTTACAAACTTTTATTTTATAACTTCTAAATTTTCATTAGAAATAAAATGCAGATAAGATTACATATAATATGGGGGATTGTGGTAGCTCTATGAGTAGGACACTGAGTTCAAAAGGTCAAGGTCCAAGGTTCGAATTCGGCCGATGGGAATAAATTATTTATTCTGCTTCATCACCCGTGGATCGACCCTGGGATCGGAAAATCCTCCTTGGGCAAACTCAGCCACTGCTAATCTGATACCTTTAATTAATTAAAGGATAAAATCTGGTGGTTGATCATGATCTCAGTCAGATCACCTCCAGAATATCCAAAAAAGTGAAGTAGAGGAGACAAAAAAAAAATTGTGTAATATTTTTGTTATATATTTTATGAAAGGTTTCGTTTGGGTTTTGATTGTCAATTTAATATTTTACGGAGGCTCGGAAAAATGATCAATGAATATTTAAATCGAGCGTTAAATTTCTTGTGATAAAATTTAACCCGTTATCGTGAATAAAACTTTTAAATCAGTGACGAGGGTTTGCTTATTGTTATCACATACAGCAGTACCATAAATTTACAGATTTACAGATTCTCATTTTTTCACCTATCCTTCTTTTTCATTACCTCAACATCTTAACTTAAAAAACATGGATTATAGTTTAACTGTTTAACTTAAAGTGACACCGTTTTCGAATTCCCCCTCCCTTTCTGTAGCCAACCAAAAACGGGATGCTATTACGATTCGGCTGGAGTTGGGTGGAGCACTTCCTGGTGGGGTCGATCCAGCGGAGACCTTGATCTTACGGTCCAAGAACAACGAGAGCAAAACCCACATCCGGTGTTCTTTTTGGCTATTTCGAACGGAATAGATCCATGCTGCAACATCTTGAACGGATTGCGGTATGGTTAAAGAGTTTCAATAACAACATTCTATAAATTACAACCAAAGGACTGATCGATCCACTTTTTGTTGTTTTGTTCACTTTTTCACTCAGCAGTACCAACACCTGTATGATTTAGCAAAGCAGCTGTTACTAGATAATATCCACATTAAGCTCGCATTAATATGTTATATTTAATTAGTAATGTAAGAGATTGCAACAATTGAAGAACCTCTCAAGATAAATCCTCATCAGAATTTTTTCTTACAAAAAACATAATGTACTTACTTCCAAGACCTCCTATTAACTTTAATATTGAGAGGATACCGTGGCGTGCCTAGATAGAAACATTTGTTTTTAATGTGAATAGTATTATCGCAAAAAAATCACTAGATTAAAATCATAGATTAAAGATACTATTTTTTAATGAAATGAAATTGATATTTTTATTTTTTAAAAAGTCATTTTTTTTTAATCAATCGCTCCAACACTCTGCCCATATTTAAATCCTGCCTCTTTAAGAATGTTTTATCCATTCAGTTCCACAAAAAATATTTTTACATTATTCAGTAAAAAAATAAAAGTTAAAAATAATATGTTGAACGAGTGTGGCTATCATTATTTAGTTAGGGTACAGACTCAACTAGAGTTTAGAAATGGGAGTTGGTGGAAATCAGCAGCAGATTCAGGATTTAATTAGTAGTATTATAAGAGTTATAATGTAATATAAGTAAATATTATAGTTATTTAAGTGATAAACTCAGATTACTCAGAGACATTAGCGGATTTAGGATTTATTTTTGGGTGAGGGGCTTCAGCCCGAAAGCATTTTTTTCATATATATAAAAGAAATATATAAAAGAAAGAAACTACCTATATGAAATGGTGTTTAAGTGGTTCTTGAAGTCCTATTAAATGTAATTACACGAACAAGAGTACTTTAAGAGATAGTTTTAATATATTTTTCAGTAAAATATGGTTATATTTTACCATTTATTGAGGGGGAGGAGGGGCTTCAGCACGAAAGCTTCCCCTCCCCGTAGGTCCCCCTAGAAACAAATATGAGCCAATGAAAACAAAATTTATATATACATATTTTTTTTTAATGGAGGGCTTCAGCACGAAACTTACCTCTCTCGTGTAGTGTTGCCCAAATGCGAGACCGAGACGAGTCTTGGTCTTGAAAATTCAGTTTTGGTCTAAGTCTTGGTCTTCGCAAGAGTCTCGCAGTTACCTAATAGTCTAGTACTATAGAGATATTATTGTATTTTTTTAGATAAGGGAAAACTAACTAAGCCCGAATGAAAAATTAGAAGAGTTAAATGCAAAATTATATTAGTTATACCAATTCTTTACATATAGCAAATAAAATTGTCAAGCATTAGTAACTATTTTGCCTTAATTTTTATTCAAAAAAATCGATTTTTTTTTACCAGTCTTGGTCTTGGTCTTGCAACAGTAAAGCGGACTTAATCTTTGCACTTTGCAAGACCAAGACCGATTTTGGGCAACACTACTCTCGTGTATCAACTATTGATGAAAATATATACTCCATTTAATAAAAGCGAACGTTATTATTGTTACTTTATTAAAGTTCTAACAGTAATCCTTGGTACTTTGATATCAGAACCTGAAGGTATATATAAGAGGAAGCTCTTATCATAACCTAAAACTTTAATAACTATGAAAAATCTCAGGGGCGTTTCCTCAGTAAATTAATTAATTTAATGAAGTATTAAGTAATTATAAATACCCATTTGATTTCCACTTGAATCCTAAGATAGTTTAATTACAAAATCAAGAAAGAAAAACTGGCCTACAAAAATATTGAATCGCTATTTTAACAGGTTGGAGTTGTAGGTCACATATTTTTATTGGTCACATTTTTTCTTGATTTCTGGATCAAATTATCTTATGATGCAAAAGGAAAGCAAATTAATGTTCACAAGTTTTTAGTAACTCATTAAACAAAACAAAAGTTTACCGATATCCGAATTGAAAACGTTTCCCTGAATTTTCGTAGATGAAAAAGTTGTAGGTAAGGATAACAACAATAGGGGTCTGTACCAGTAGAGGATCCAGGATTTAATTTTTTATGGGAAGGGGGCTTTAGCCCGATAGGTTTTTTTTTTTTTCATAAATATAACGATAGTTACGTTGGAAAAAAAAAAAAGCTGTATGAAATGGTGTTACTTGAAGTCCAATTAAATGCAATTACACGAACTTATTTTAAGAGATGATTTTTTAATATTTTTTTCCATAAAACAGGGTTACATTTGACCATTTTAGGAGGGGGGCTTCAGTCCGAAAACCCTCTTTCCTCCTACCACCGTAGAACCGCCTGTGGTCTGTACCACTCACTAGTACCTTAACAACTAACGAGGCAATGTTCGATCAGGAGTGAAAAACATAACGTCACATACATGTAAATGATAATCAAATATAAAAAAAACAGCCTAAAAATACTAAATATATATATATAAGGAAGCGGGGTAGCTCAGTGGTAGGGCACTGAGCTTCCAAGCTCAAGGTCCCAGATTCAAATACAGTTCATGTCAGTTAAAAAAAGTTATTTATTCTGTTTCATTAGCCGTAGGGCGATCCTCCTAGGGCACACCCAGCCTCTACAAAGTGGGTACCCTTAATTAAATAATTGATTGAGGAGCAAAACCAGGGGGTTGAGCGTGTCCCTGGCCCGATCCCCTCCCTGCACAACCGTTGGTGGCCTTGAAACAGTACTTTCCCTAAATAGTACTGAACCCAAGACCCTTCATTGGTTGTAGTTGTACAGGTTATATATATATATATATATATATATATATATATATAACCTGTTCCATGATAAAATGATATATGTATATCATGATATGTATATAGGCTGTTGCAGTGATTTTATGGAATATTTTTTGCTTGTAATAATGCAATTAAATGCATTTCAGCCTTGAAAATTGACCAAAATTACATAAATTGGTAAATTGTTTAATACTGTTTGAGATGCTCAAGGCTTTTTTTTTTTTCAATTTTCTAACAGATATTTTATAATTTAAGAGCAATTTTCATTCTTACACTTCTAAATAAAAACATTCCCTGGATGGGTATATAAATACTTCAAGTGTCTATAATAAACAGAAAACAGGTTTCTCGTCGATGATAGCGACCACAAATGATAGATGTTTTCAGAAAATGATTCATCGGAAATTCCTTGCATTGCAACCGGTATTTTCCTCATCTTAATATGGAAAGCTTCAATGCACGACAATACAACAACTTTGCACAAGAGATTATTTTTTTAAAAGTTAATAATAACAATAAACAAGTTATACAACATTTGTTATATATTGTAGATTTTAGTGAGACTAGATCCGATTTTCTAAAAGATAAAAGAATTTTTTTGTCATTCGATTTTCTTTTGGCTTAGCATATATAAAAAAAATAATAATAATAATATAAAATTCGCAACCGCAGAAATGTCTTGATGAAATGGTGATTAAAGAACTTTGTTTTTATTTTTAGTTCTGAACGTTAAAAAAAAAGAAATTAGCATCTTAATAAAATACATCTGGAGATTCCCAAACTTTGTCTATTTAATTAGGTACTAAAAACTCGTAAATACCAGTTTTCTTTTCATTTTAGTCATAAGATAATAACGAGATAAAAGGTGACCTTCAAAAATATTGACCCGTTTGGAGTGAATTACATCCCAAAAATGTCAAAATAATGAGGTTAAATAGGCAAAACGGCCCAATATTTTTTCAGACCAACTTTTTTCTAGATTTTGGGCTCAAATTATCTTACGCTCCAAGTGGATATTTACGAGTTTTTAGTACCTAAATAAATTGACAAAGTTTGCCAATCTCTAGATTGAAAACGCCCCAATTCCAAGAGTTTTCGTAAATAAAATAGTTGTAGGTACGAAGTATCAGGCGGATGTTAATTATTTGATAAAAAGGGGTCTGTACCACGGACTATATTATCATGAATCAACAAACAAATAGCGGGGCAGTGCAGTGAGTAAGGCACTTATGCTCAAGACCCCAGGTTCGAGACATGACAAGGTGATTATTAGTTCTGTTACATCAGCCATGGATCGACCTTGGGATCACGAGACCCTCCAGTGGCACACTAAGCCTTCATTAAATGGTTATTCTTAATTAAATAATTATCACATATACGTCCTGTACATTTTTACTCGACCGATAAATTTTTGCAGCGCCATTCACAAAATGCCGGCATACTTTTATCTCTGTTTAGTAAAAATTAGAATTTAATTTACTTAGAATTAAAAGAACATGAATGAATTATTTTCTGTAATATAGAAATAATGAATTTTGCGTAATTATGAATTTTCATCATGCAGACGAATATGTGTTAATTAAGGAGGAAAACCTGTCGGTTGAGCGTGATCTCGGCCCAATAATCTTCTTGGACAGCCGTTGACCTTGAAAAAGTACTGAACCCAACAACTTTCATGGGTTGTAGTAGTATACGTTCATATCAATAAACACAAGATAATAAAGTGCTTATACCATAAAAATGTTTGTACTTTTTTTTTTCTCGACCGGATTATAAATTTCCTCTTAAAGATATTATAAAATATATGGAATCCAGTGGTTACGTAAGAATTCAGAAAAAAATATAAAACGTAGTCATAAAGGAAATATATGTAGATTAAGTTTATTCGCAACTTACACGACATCTAACGAACAAACGACTAACTAACCAACCAAGTTTATTTATAAACATTGTATTTCTAAATTCCAAAATTTAAATATATAACATTATTGTGATAAATACTTTAATATGAACCGTTTGAATTTTAGGAATTAAGTTTGTTTTTGTTTTCCTTATTTTCAGTTATTATAATCCCAAAATAGAAAAACTTTGTATTTTTACTAGACTATCTGGTATTAGTAGTAAAGTAGTGGATAAATATAAAATATGAAAGAATTTTATA